CATTCTAGCAGACATTATACCAACAAAGCACAATTTAACTTCAAATTAATAAGTTGCTGAGCAGAAAATTTTAACACTATGTGTGAATGTTATAATAAATGTATTAATAGAGCTGTTGTAGGGTAATTATTATTATCATTATTATTGTCTTACTTTTTTATTTTATTTTACAGAACGACAGTAAAATTACAATACTATCATTTATGAATGTCGATGGAGTTGTTGCTTTTTCTCGGCTTTTATTTTGGCAGAAACCCGCAGGAAGATCTCAGTGCTTCTTTTTGTTGACAACAGCATGCAGATTTATAAATGATTCTCATTATGAATTTGGGAAGATGTTTGTCGCACATATCACATTGTCACATGCCTTAAAAAAAAATGTCACAAAAATGTTACTGAGCAACTGACGAGTAACAAGTTCAGCTCAGATTTTCCTCATGCTTTGGAATTTGAACCCTGGCGCCGCGAGCTCGTGCAGCGCTGTCGGAACACATGCAATTCGTGCGTGCATTAGAAAATATAACATTCTGCAGTTTATTTACTAATCGTTTGAGGCCATTTCGTGATTGTCATTGTTCGGTACATATTATTTGGCCTTTTCGCTTATTCTTCTGAACACCGAAAGAGATTTCTTTGCTATTTTCGGCCGAATAATTTCGGTTGCCGAATATTCGGTGCATCCCTATTTAATATTGTTTTTCGTATTTAAATATGCATTTCAAATATTAAACAAATATGAACTTTAATTTTAAATAATTATTTAATATTTAAAATATTTATTAGGAATCATTGGGAAAATGATGATGCATAATTATAAGGCAGCATCACATTTATTCTTCATTTGAAAAGGCAATGCCAGAATTCATTGTGACCAGGTCAGTGAAAAGTTTCATACGTGATGACAGGGAATCATCAGTTTCATGGGACAAGACCCTAAAAAGCCGTGAGATGTGTTGCAAAGGTCAAAGACGTCAAACAAGGCAGCTCACTAGGGTTTAAAACAGAGCAAGAAATGGCAAAAAGACAGACCGAGCCTGAAATCTTTGGCACAGACACTTTCTATTGGATCCTGATATTTTATTCAAACATACAGCAGAGAGAATAAAGATTATGAAACACATTCTTCTGTCTGTTCCTCACAGAGAGCTCAACACAGACCCAAATAAACCTCTGAATGACATAAAACGCCACAAGACAGAAGAAACACAGGCTAGTGATGGAGGGACAGAGAGCCGAGTGCTTTACATAACGCCATCCTGACTGCACTGAGTGACATCACTGCTCCCATCAGCCCTCGGGGCAGGAATGACTTCTTCTCACGACTCGGAGACTCAAGCATCAGCAAACATGCTGTCATCATACAGTCATTTACTACCTACACAGCGCTGACCGTTACACTGCAGAAAACAGTGAGCAACCTGCTGCTGATGACTGCTTCCTGAAGCATTTTTCCCATTCATTTCTCTAAAGGGATTTAAAAAAAAAAAAAAGTTCAGAGC